CAGTCAGCTTAATTTATTGGTAACTCAAATTGCCACATCCCTCTTTTCCTCCCTTTCATCCCCCTTCCTTCCCCCGAATGCGAAAGTTTCGCGGGCACACGAGCGCACAGAGCTGCTTACGTAACTTTTAATGACGAAACTAACGAGATAGAATGTTTGCCGAATCCTTCATCCGTATTACGATGATGATCGCAGGGCAAGCAGCGCAATTTTGTGGCGTTTGCATTAATTAGTTTTTTAGTGCACTCTTCTTCCGCCTCCTTCTCCTCCGAAAAGTTAACTTGCGTGTTGCAAACTTGTGTATCAAATCAGGTTAAATCGTTTGTCAACAGGAGTTTGCGAATATTTGCTTTATAAAATTAAACCTTTGTAGTTTGGAAATGACAAGATAAAGGTAATCCAATCCCTTCCTGCACTGCGAAAAAAATTATTAAATTAATAAATATTTATTTCGATACTTCCTAATTAATCATTTCTTTGAGAAAAAATATATATTAATCTGTTTTGAAAAGGATTTTTTTATATCAAAGAAATATTAAATAATATTTTTAAAACATTTCTAAAACATGAGTTAAAATATTTTTTTAAATGTTATTAATATGTTCATTAAAACATTTTTTTAATATTTATAAAACATCTAACGCAGAAAATTTATATAAAATCAACATTTTAAAATGTTGATTAAATGATGTTTCTTGCTTACTGGATATGTTGTACACAGAGAATAAAATATATAAAATAAAGTAAATGTAGTAAAATATAGTAAATATTTTTCACATCAAATCAATATTATTAGTTTCAAATAAATGATTTATTAGGCAGAATTGAAATAAATATTTATTTAAATAGCATTCAATAATTTTTTTTCGATGTGAAAAGGTTTGTATTCGTTATTGCAAATCTAATTGACGGAATACAATCTGTCTCTCTCTGAAATGAAATGAATCGTTCAAAGTGATTATTGATTTAACGAAGATCTGTGGAGCAATTAAGATACAGAGAGAGGATATATTTTCGAGAGCCGTCATACAGAATCGCCTCCTTAATTGCGATAATTCGCCAAATTGTGGAAGATGATCGCGCATTGTGCATTATATATATATATATATATATCGGGCTCATAAAAGTCATGATGAAGCGGGTTCTTTGTGAAGGAAACTCTGCCGTTCCTCATTACCACAAAATGGATAAGCGCCGGTTCGTTAAACGAAACTCGCGATATCGTAACGAGGCAACGATTCTTATTTACTCTCTCTCTCTCTCGTCGAGCGAGAAGCTTTCGACTTAATCAGCGAGACACAGAACAGATAATTTCGCTTCGCCGAATTACGAAGCCGATGCGCATTCGACGAAATGCGTTCGCCGAACTGACAATGAGGCTGTTGTGAGCGGCTTTTTGGCAATTTCAGCAGACGTATATTCGCGAGAATCGAGCGTTTCTGCTCCAAAACAGCGGCTTCCTCGAAAGCTAAGCAAGCGCGCGACGCTCAACAATATCGCTTCTTATTGAGAGATAGAGAGAATTGCGAAATTTACGACACTTGTTTCAAAAGTATATACAGAGTGTCCCAGACTTATTGTATACCACACGTTAATGCGAGATTCTTGACGCGTTTTAGAGACGATTTTTCCTCCAGAAAATGTCCAGGCGCCAATAATTTTCGAATTTTAAACGATTGAAAATACAAGTTTTTTTTGTAAACTAAGCCTTGTGGAAATAAATTAATTTGAAATATAAAACTACATTTTTTAATTAATTTTAGGTGAAGTTTACTGTAATAGAATTTTAATTTAAGGCTTACACAAAATATGAATGTTTACAAAAAATATTTATAAATATTTTTATAAAATATTGCATAAAACATTTGAAAATGGTTTTAGGAATAGTTTAAAATAATTTATAAAAATTTTTTGTAATAACATTTTTTTTAATAATTTAAAAAACTTTTAAAAATGTTTTTCTTTATCCCCCAGATAATATTTTCTTGAATACATATTTTTAAAATAATAGTTTCAATCTATGTTCAAAAATATTTTTGAAACGTGAAAAAGCGGATATAGAAACATTTTAAAAATATTTTCGAGAATTATTTTATCTTTTGAAATATTTTTAAAATCTTTTAAAAATATTTCTTAAAGGATCTTTTAAAATCTATTATATATATATAAGTGCGTCGAAAACAGATTAAACAAAATGGTAAAAAGATAGAACTAATTCTCAATCAATCTCTTAATGTTAATAATATCGGAGTGTAAATCTTGTGCAAAGGGACGATCAAACACATTTAATCGTTTTCTCTCTATTCTTTTCTCTTTCTCCTCTTCTTTGCATTGTTTCACGAAAATTCCTATTTCCATTAAAATTATTGGATTTCTCGGAGCAAAAGGAATACCGCGAATCTATTTTATCTGTGTATCCAATAGTATTGTTATACGAAAGTTGTTTCATCCTATTATTGTCTTCTTACAAACGATCAGTTTTACAAGAAACATCTCGAAATATTTTTAATTTATTATAATAAATTGTAGTTTTATTAGAAAAATAAATTATATATCCTACAAAATAATAATAATAATAGCATATTTGTACATAAATCTCGCATTAAAATGATTATTCGTATATTATTAATTAAATCATAATAATTTCTTTGTAGATAAAAAATGAAGTTAATTTCGTAAAAATGTATATTGTGTGTGTGATACGATAAAATTGAGCGAATCAGCGGACCATGATTCGCAGCAGAAGAAAAGAACAAAGAAACGCTTGTGAATAATTCAGGATATCGCGATAAAACGCAACCAGCGATTCCTTAGAAGTAGTAATAGTACTACCAAAATCCAACTTATCCATTCTTCAATTCGGCTCGCCCTTACAAAGCGTGCCAGGAATAATTTGCGATGTAAGGGAGAATAACGGCGCGCTTCTCTCGCCGAGAGCTCGCCCTTCTTAAGTATAATGGATAAGAAAGTTGAGACGTTAAAGGAATGTATCAATTCACATCGTCTATTCACCGTGGAATGCGTAGATCGAAAGCTCATAAATCATATCGTTGTTCTTTCGCCGATCGAGATTATTCATCGCTATTCATCGATCGTTGCATTCTACTCCAAATATATTATTTGATTATTATATATGTATATATATATATGTGTATGCTTCTCTCTGCATTTAGTATTTGCATTGACATTATTTTCCGCATGCAGCTCGTATTTTAATTTGCGTAATGGATAAATGCGTAACCTAAATAATCACCGCATGCTGATATCGGTTTTCTGTGCATTGCTGCGATTACAGCCAATTGCCTATTGCGCTTTCTGAGTTGTTTAAATTCCGATTTAAACTCTAGTTAGATTTAACGATCGGATATAAAAGTAAAAAAAAAATTAATAAATATAGAGTCAACGAACAAGCAAGAAAAAATATGTTCTATCATTATATTATACATTTGCGTATATCTGGCGAATTAATGCTTACTAAAGAAGAATTTTGTCAAATTTATATCACACGTCTTTTATGCATTTTACGTTATTTATAACCTCTGGCGTATATTTGCACGAACTCGTGAAATTTTTACACCGTTGTTTTTCATCGGATTTGTTCGACGATACATCCATCAATAAAAAAAATACAAACGGATTATTTTCAATTTTTTAAAATGCATTCGTTTCGAGAGTAATCTATTATACAAAATTATATATGGCGGATAGTAGCGAGAACTCCTCGCAAAAGTGTCCGTCATCGTTTTACCAAAGCTTTCGCTGATACAGAACTTCTAAGTACGCTTCATCTGGAAATATGAAATCGACGTGTCAGAGGCAGTCGTTTTCCAATCTCCGTTTTAGCACGCCCCTGTGCCCCTATTGACATCTTCCTCGCCTATCTCGCGATATATCATTGCCATATTCGTCTATTTATTCTTAATAGTTCGATATCTCTAAGAAAAATTTTCTGTACACTGAGAAAAAAATTTGTCAACTTGACTAAATCTTTCAACTAAATTATTATTTTATTAATTGAACATATATTAGTATTTAAATCAAATATATGTTTGTTAGATTTAATATATGTTATATTTATTTTAAATATTTTTATATGTCCAATTGACAAAAAAATATTTATTTGAAAGGTTTAGTCAAGTTAACAAATTTTTTTCAGTGTACTAAATTGATTGAAAAATACGAATTATTTCGTACTCCAGAGTAAAAGATATTTAATATTTCTGAAGAATTTGGTGAACAATCGAAATATCTACTAGCTTAATTTTTTACCTAAAGATTTTTGAACAAGATAGCAATAAATAAATAAATTTGAATATGTATAAATCAGTTTAAAATATGATACACTGAAATAAAATTTCTTAACTTAACTAAACCTTTCAACTAAATTACTATTTTATTAATTAAACATATATTAGTATTCAAGTCAAATATATATATATTTGTTAGATTTAATACCTATGTTATATTTAATTTAAATATTTTTATATGTCGAATTGACAAAAAATATTTATTTGAAAGATTTAGTCAAGTTAACAAATTTTTTTCAGTGTACTAAATTGATTGAAAAATACGAATTATATCGTACTACAAATAATATATAGTCAAATATATATATTTGTTAGATTTAATACCTATGTTATATTTATTTATTTAAATATGTCCAATTGACAAAAAAATTTTATTTGAAAGATTTAGTCAAGTTAACAAATTTTTTTCAGTGTACTAAATTGATTGAAAAATACGAATTATTTCGTACTCCAGAGTAAAAGATATTTAATATTTCTGAAGAATTTGGTGAACCACAATCGAAATATCTACTAGTTTAATTTTTTTACCTAATGATTTTTGAACAAGATAGCAATAAATAAATAAATCTAAATACATATATAAATAAATTAAAAATATTATATATATATGTGTGTTGTACGATTTAAATGTATGGAAACATCCTTTTAATAATAAATATAGAATTTGTCAGAGCGTTGAATTTTTGATTGCAGCCTGCAAGCAATTATCCAGGTCGGTACAAGGCATCTTCGGGCCATCCGACCCACTTTTAGGCGCTCACATACAAAGCATATGTGAGGCTTTGGACGTTCCTCATCTCGAAGCGCGGGTCGATTTCGAGCCCACTTTTAAGGAGTTCAGCATTAACCTATATCCCGCTCCAGATCATCTCAACAAAGCGTTCAAGGATCTCATGTCCTTCCTAAACTGGACCCGAGTGGCCATTATCTATGAAGAGGATTACGGTAAGTGGAGAACAATAACGTGTACGTACAATCGAGAAGAATCTCCGCTGCAGCGGAATTTCTTTACTCCAAATAAACTGCGAATATATGGATGAAATCGCATATCTTGACTAGAATAATCTAAATTTTCTCTTCATATCTGCATTTGCCAAATCCGCGTATCCTATTCCACATTTAATATACATATTCATTTATATTTAGTTTATATCTTATATTAAATATATATTATAGTTACATTTATGTATAATATAATAATGTAACTTATTTTCATAATAAATTCATTACTTTTTTCCGTATAATTCTTGATGTAATAATCGTTCATTATTATGAACGATTATAGTTCGTATTTTTAATTTTCTGACAATTTTGCAACAAAGTAACTTTTCATATGCTCATTGAGCTCTTATAATAAATATTAGTATTATATATTTTACATTAAATATATATTACATATGAAATATATGTATATTAAAATATAAAATAAATGTACATTAAATATTTAATAAATATATATAAATAAATATATATATATATATATATATATTTATAAATATTTATATTAAATATATATTACATATGAAATATATGTATATTAAAATATAAAATAAGTGTACATTAAATATTTAATAAATATATATATATATATATATATATATATATTTATAAATATTTATATTTAATATTTAAATAACAAAAAGAAATACCGCAGTGGCATGATCGATTTTGAACTTAGATGTATTGCTGGAATTAATTTAGCGCATACGTTTCTCTCCACAAAAGCGCGATAATAATGATTTTGTGCGAAACGTAGTGGCAGAAAAATGCGACGAACCGCAAGAGCGAACATGCGGACAATACGAACAACATCAGTGGCCGGGCTGAAAGATTTCGCGACCACCCCGTTTCGCAAAACCAAGCGCTCCGCGTTGAAAACGGCAATACACAACGCGGGAAAACCGCTCCATAGATATTTGTAGAAGAGGCGATCTTCTCTCTCTTTTTTTTTTTTTTTTTGGTTTCTTCTCGTTAGCGCTCCGCGGCAGCGCGTTTATTACGCAAACGTTTGTTGCCTCCATTTTTTCCCCTTTTTTTATTTTCCTCCACAGAGTCGGAATGATGCGTCCCCATGCAAATAGAACGTCGGAATCAGGCGCCGGAAGTGGACGCCGCCGCCCGGATGTCGGGCCTGTCATCCGCACGCGGAAGTAACCGCGTTTACATACGATGATGTAAACTCTCTCTTTTTCCCTCGCGATCTCTCGCCGTCCGAAAACGAGATTGCTCACCCTCGACGCGTTTTGCCGCCAACTTAACCCCCGTGGTTCGCCCCCATAACACCCCGTTTTCATCTCGCGACGGCCTGGCACCATCCGCGACGACTCATCGAAATTCCGCGACGCGCCGTTGACGTATAATATCCACCCTACCTCGGCCCATTTCCATTCTTTCCGAATCACATTAGTATATTTTAACTATCGTCGTCCCTCCGAGGAAATGTATGAATTTTCGCCCGCCATTTCTACCACTTCTAGCCGGAAAAGACGTATTTGCATTGATTTGCCTGTCTGAGCGGAAGAATTTTATTGTCGGAGTAAATCTGGAAATTCAAAAATGGAAAGTACCTCGCGCTAATCTTATACGTGAAATGGATCTCGGGTAAATCTAATTTAATGTCAAATTAAATCTTGGGAAAATTGGCCGGACTTTTTTCATATCTCGTAGCTGAATGAAAGATATAATAGCTTCAATACTGAATAATGAACAGTTTTTGTTTAGTAAATTATTTATAAACTACACTGAAAAAAATGTGTTAAATTAATACATATTTATACTGTCAAATAAACCATTCATTTGAAATTATTTGAAAAGAATTTTCTTATATCAAATAAATATTATTAGTTTCAAATAAATGATTTATTTGACAGTATTGAAATAAATACTTATAAGAATTAGCTAAATTTTTTTCAGTGTACAATATATGAAGAAGTCAGCTGATTTTACCAAAATTCAATTTTATATCGGATTAATGCGAGGTTTTTGAACCTATGTGAAATCCTATTAGACATTCGAGACATTCGAAAAAAATGACTAAATTAATATTTGTTTCAATACTGCCTAATAAATCACTCATTTGAAACAAATAAATATTGATCTGTTTGAAAAAGGATGTTCTTATATCAAATAAATATTTTTCACGTCAAATCAATATTAGTTTCAAATAAACTGAACTGGAAAAAAATGTGTTACTATAATATTTATACTGTCAAATAAACCACATTGAATAATGAACATTAGTTTGAAAAGAAATTTTCTGTCAAAAAAATATTATTTGAAAAGTTTTCATATCAAATAAATGTTTCAAATTGATATTTGACAGTATTGAAATAAATACTTATAAAAATTAGCTAAATTTTTTTCAGTGTACAATATATGAAGAAGTCAGCTGATTTTACCAAAATTCAATTTTATATCGGATTAATGCGAGGTTTTTGAACCTATGTGAAATCCTATTAGACATTCGAGACATTCGAAAAAAATGACTAAATTAATATTTGTTTCAATACTGCCTAATAAATCACTCATTTGAAACAAATAAATATTGATCTGTTTGAAAAAGGATGTTCTTATATCAAATAAATATTTTTCACGTCAAATCAATATTAGTTTCAAATTGGTAAAATCAGCTGATTTCTTCATATATTGTACACTGGAAAAAAATTTAGCTAATTCTTATAAGCATTTATTTTAATACTGTCAAATAAATAATTTATTTGAAACTAATAATATTTATTTGATATAAGAAAATTCTTTTCAAATAATTTGTTTCAAATAAATGATTTATTTGCCGCAGTATTGAAACACTTATTCAAATTCAATAAACTTTTTGTTCAGTGACAAATAAGTGTAAAACTTTTTTATAAAAATCCACTGTCATAATTTTCACACTTCGAGCGATAATTCAATGATACTTTGTATCCCGATGTTGTTTTGTGCGAAGTATTATTAATAATGGATATCGCGTGCGCGAATCCCCACGCCATATAAATTTGCGAAACGAATCCTTCTTCGCCCCCTCACGTAGTTTTCTGGCGAGGAGCAAAATAGAAAGAGTCGCCGACCTTATCTTCCCTAAATTGCCGCTCTTGATTGGACGATGTAACGTGGCGTGTAACAGAAGCACGAAGTAGAACGTTGCCGTTAGCGATAAAACTGGAGGAAACGGAAAGAGCGCGCGTCTTTTTTGCGCCTGGTCTCTCGGATGTCTATAGCTCGCCATAAATTCACGACAAAGGGGGTGGGGGTGAAGGGGGTGGGGGGTGGGGGGAGGTTAAGACGTTTCAAAATTTCTCGTCCGTGAAAAAGCACGCTTCGAAGGGTGCCCCGACTCGACCCGGGAAAATGTAACATCCCGGTACTCCACCTAAATATTCATCGGGGGTAAATCCGTCTTTCACGAGCTCGTTAAAACTTCAACGTGCGGAGAGATAGTCACTCGCTTAAACGCCGTTAAATATTAAGCGGTCGCGGGGGCAGAAGCATATACGCACGATTTGCGACCCGGAAAAAAAATTTTTTATCTTTAAAATTTTTATTTTTAATTAAAAAAATTTTTGTATAACAAAATATAAAAAATTATGTAGAAATAAAATTATACATATAATCGCAAAATTATATTTCTGGAATATGTCCATACATAATTAGTAAAAGTGCTTTCTATATATACAATTATATATATATATATATATATATATATATATATATAATAAATATTTCTTCATATATATATATAAATATATACGTCTCATATATAATTTTACATGATTATATATAAACCCTTATAATTTATATATAATTATGTATAAAAATAGACATATTTACATATATAATTTTTTTTTACGATTATATATATAATTATACAATTATTTATATATAATTATATATATAAAAAATTTTCCCCGGGAATCTCAACATTCGTAATAATTTCTGTATTTTTTTCGTCGACCCCATGACGTTTGTTTATAAATTTATCTTGAATATTCGCGTTCCGCGAGAGATTTTGAACGCTTCTCGAAATTTGGAAAAGTTTCTCCCTGCTGTTATTTAGTTATTCATAACTGCCCTAGTGTTTCGCAGTTCGTTAAAACTTTATTGGCCGTAAAAAGTTTCGTTTTTCGGCGCCGTAAAATAATAATGGATTGAAAAGCGACGGCTCTCTTCTGCCAATGTCCAATAATTTCGACGCGTAAATACTTTGTGTATGAGATAACGCGCGAAACTGGAGTAAAGTCGCTTTTAATTTTCGTCAACTAAACTTTTTTCGGAAACATACGAACTGTGTATACAGGGTGTCCGGTAACTAACGGACCAACAATTACAAATGGATTCTTTGGTCAATTTGGGAACGATTTTTCCTCAGCAAAAATGTTGAAAAAGGTCATCATTTTTTACAACTTTCCAATATTTGTCATTACTTTATAACTAAGCCTCAAATTAAAATTTTATTATAGTAAACTCTACCTGAAATTAACTGAAGAATTTAATTATGTTAGACTTTTAACTCCAAAACACGTTTAGTTTTCAAAAAACCTATTTTTTTCAATCGCTTATAACTCAAAAATTATTGACTTCTCAACATTTTTGCTAAGAAAAAATCGTCTCCAAATTGGCCAGAGAATCCGCCCTTAATCATTGGTCCGTTAGTTACCGGACACCCTGTATATTGCATTTAAAAATATATTTCATTACTTCACCACTCGAGTCAGCTACTCTCATTTTTAATACAATTCATTTATATATATGATACAATGAAATTCGCTACTTTCTAATAAAAGCTTGAAATCTATGCTGAATTAAATTATTTAACTTGTCAGTGTAAAATAAGAAATATCGCTTTTTACCAAATAATTCCATTAAATGCTCGTGTCATATAAAACTGAAATAAATGTTTGCTAAATTTGTAAAGTTTAATCAGTAAACCCGAGATTTTCGAATTTCTACTC